GTCTAGATTGGACATACTTGGCGCGGGGCACCAGACTAGACCAAGACACTTGTGACTTGAACTTGAAACGCTTTCAAAGTTCCACAAGTTGCAAGAACCTATATCAACTAAAAACATGCAAGACCAAAAGCCTCAACAGCCAGAAATGCATGCTGGACACTGCAATGCGAACTGCCACGCAATGCCTTGAATGCTTTCGTTCTATGTCAACAAGACACAACACGCAAGACCTGATGCCATCACAAGTAGAGCTGAGATGCCATCGCAAGTAGAGCTGCACACATAGCAGCAAGAGCAGCCAGAACTTTTTCCTTGATGTTGTAGTCGTTTTGTGAAACTGTGAAACAAAAGGTCGGGACCAAAAGCTCCATCAAAAGCAAACGTTTCACAGCTCGCAGTTGTAACGCGCAGGTTCACTAGTTCTTTGAAACCTTTGGCCCCTGCAACGATTGACTCTATAGGGCCTATAGCGAAAGAACATTTCAAGCAAGAACGTTTCAGGCAAGAACGATTCAGGCAAGAACGATGCTGCGACATGAAGTTGTTTTGTGTGTTTCTTTCACTGCGTGGTCGTTCTTTTGCACCGCAAAAACAAAAGAAGCAAAGGAAAACACGAAACCAAATAAACAAAGAAAACAAAAAAGGAACAGAAGACAGAAACGCAAAAAAAGTACTAAAGCAACAAGAAAAAGAGAACATTATAGACACAAAAAGAAAGTGGAAGGAAGTGAGAAAGGAACAAAGGAAGAAAGGAGCAGCGACAGAAAGGAAAAGAAATGGAAAAAGAAACAAAGGAAGCAAGCAAAAGCAAGGAAGGAAGAAGAACGTAAGACGCGAAAAGGAAAAGGAAGAAAGGAGGAACGGCAGAAAGACAAAGAAAGAACAACAGGAAAGAAATTGAAAAAGGAAGGAAGGAAAGGGCAAGGAAGGAAAAAATGGTACAACAGCAAGAAAGGGTGCAAATAGACGGATAAGGATAAGCGAAAGGAAAGGATAAGGAAAACGTAAAGGGAAAGGAATAGCAAAGGGAAAGGAAAGGAAAAGGACAAAAGGACAGAAAAAGGAATGAAAAAAGCAAGAAAAGCAAAGACAAGAGAAGAAAGTAAAGAAAGGCGCGCAGACAGAAGGAAATAAAACAAAAACAATCAAACAAACACACAAAAGCACAAAACACATACGATCTGAAAAACCAGCAAGCCAACAAAACACAACAAACATCACCGAGCAAATCAAAAAAAGCAAACAAACAAGCCACGCAAAGCAACCAAGAAAACGCCCAAACACCACAAACACAACAACCCCCACAACAAAACAACGCAACCAAAAAGCAACAAACAACTACAACACAAAAACCCAACTGTGCAAACTGCACTCTGAACTGTGCAATTTGCACTGTTCAAGTTTGAGCTCCAAAAACCAACTGTGCAATTTGCACTCTGGAGAGTGCAAATTGCACAGTTGTAGCCTGGACTAAATGATCATTTACTCTCCGAGAATTTAGTCGGGATCCGGACTAAATGATCATTTACTCTTTAGTCCCCGGACTAAATCCTTAGAAGAGTAAATGTAGACTCAAGTGATCTATCAGGTCTCGCTCCGTTAGAGGCTCTGGGCGCTTGCGTTGTCGGCTGTGATCGCCACTGGTCGCCGCTGGTCGGCTGCGGCGCTGTCTTAGTGTAAAGTGCAATAGATCTCGCTCCGTTAGAGGCTCTGGCGGTTGCGTTGTCGGCCGTGGTCGCCGCTGGTCGCCGCTGGTCGGCTGCAGCGAGATCTCGCTCCGTTAGAGGCTCTGGCGGTTGCGTTGTCGGCTGTGGTCACCGCTGGTCGCCGCTGGTCGGCTG